CCCATATATTAAACCTAAACATAATCATGCGAGCATGTAACGCATGAAGTCCACAATACACGTATGAGAGAAATAAGAAGAAGTTAATTGTCTTTAGCTGTCCATTTCCACGCCTGAATAAATTTCTTTTTCGTCACTTCGATACAAACTCTTGCCAATGTTTAATGTCTTAGTATAGTTAATTTTGTACTTTCTAATTAACGAATTATGATTGTTTACTACCATGTAAACAACTCATTAATGAGTCTAGGTTATACTGTAAATGGATAGCGCGGATATTTATATCGATTTTACAAATACAGTAAATAAATAAATAGTTAATAATGTTATGGTATTCGTTAATCGGTTGAGAAAATGAATATAGTTACCTTATAACCTAATTAATCAGATTCGTGTGGTCGCTAGCATCGTTAATAAAATTTTCGGACTGGTCAAAAAATTAGTAATGATAACATGTAAATATGTTAAACTGTGGTGATTGATTATGATTCAGTGGGCTAGTTCTTTTTTTTAAGATTATTTTCTATTGTATGAAATCTATAACATTAAAAGTAAAGTGTATTTTCTTGGAACATTTCACATAGTAAAATCGTAATAAAACGACAATAATTGACATTCGAGTCTTGCTCTATCAATATACTTTATTTTTTTTATTGTAACAATATACATATTTCCCTTGACATCTATGCATGATCATCGTTGATTCAACGTGGTTCCATCACGATGTAGACGTTTTATGCAAGGAACATAAATATAAAATTAATATTGTTTACAATAATATATACATTGTTTGATTTTAATCCTTGTTTAATCCTTGTCTAATTTAGCTTTCACTTTTGCGACCGAACATAAAGTTAAGGACTCACTCTAATTTAAATTATTGTTTTAATTCAAATATTTTCAAGTCGCACCAAAACATTAAACAAGAACATATACTGAGTAAAGAACACGTCTAATCAAACATCTAAAACCTCTACATTATATATATGCATAGCATTACGTATACCCTGCAGAGATCTCACGAATCAAAATTAATAGGATTGTTCCAAAAATTAATAATCATAATTTCTATTCGGTAGAGTATAGTCGCAAGTGAGTGAGTAAGTAATGGACATAAAATTAAAATAAAATTGTATTACTCCAGTGTAAAAAACATTTAATATGGACCGATGCTAAATCTCATTTTAAAAAATAATCTGTAACTTCAAGTTTGAAGCTTTTAATTTTTAAGCCAATATCGATTTAAATCGAGTTTTTTTTTATACAAATTCCTGAAGTTGGTTAAATTATATACTGTATTACTAAAATTCAGGATTTTTAGGGTTCATTTATTGTCTTAGTAATTAAAAATTTCTCAAAATGCATAAATTGAATTTGAATCAATAAATGATATCGATATCCAACTAAATGTCGTGTAAGTCTTATTATAAAAAATATTCTGCAGAGAGTATTGGATAATATAATAAATTTCACGAGGCATCGCATTGAGATAGCATTGTAGCCTATACAAATATCTGTTATATGATCAAACAAAACAATGGAAAGCTCATGTGATTGACTAAAAGTCTATTTGATTAGACCCCTGAATTTATGTAATTGGCGGAGATCTATAATTCGCAGAACGCTTTACAAAGAATTTTACTAATTATGTATAACTGACAAAGTATAGACATAAATAGTAAAAATCTTAATTTTTTTCATGTATATTACAGATGTTTGTGTAATGCTTAACAGGTTTAGGCTCGCTTTAGTTAGTGTAGGCCAATTTCTAATTGGTTATATACTGCAACAGATATATTTACAGCATATCGTACATTTTTCTATTAAGAATGTGTCATTTGCAAATAGAAAAACAGTAATTAATGCCGTTTCCACATATTTTCAAAAAAGCGTTATACCGAAACTGTTAACGTGTTAAAAACTTTTTGAAAAATAGTGTCAGTAAAAAATTGTCACATGTCATATCATCTATCGCTATGCGACCAATTATAGGCATGTTAAGTCACATGATAACTAGCCAATCAGATAATGAATTTCACAGTTAAATGAAACGAAGCAATCTTGTCCATGTTCGTACTTATATACGTACAATACCTAACCTAAACTTAATCTCAAACAAATCCAAATTCCAATTAAATAAATTGTATGACTGTGCACGGCCTTAGCCATTTCCAATTATATTCAATTTCTTATGATTGACCAATCATTAAAATGTTACCATATATCTTCTTGCTTAGGTTAATTAAATTCTCCGAATTTAATAACTTAATAATAATAACAATAAGTAATTTTAACTAGATGCGCATGGATTGAAATTTTCCTGAATTACTATTACTGTATAATTTTACTATTGCTATTAAAAATTATATACTATAAATTAGATAAATTTGATTAATTTGATAAATTAGATAAATTAGATTGAAAGAATTATCCATGTAGTAATGAAAAATTACGTAAACTGCAATAATTATTTGTACATGCGAATAATAGGAAACAATCTGTTAAAAATCTGTTATTTATTTGTGCTTATACATATAACAATATTATAGTAACCTAAAATTTTGTACTAACCATAATTATAATTGTTGAAAAAGATAATCTAAGACAAAACTAGATTAAATTTACTAAATTAGATAAACTAACAATAAAAAATGTAAAAAAAATGTAACGTCACGCAACATCACATGTGATAAACAAAGAAATCTCACGTCTAAATTTAGAATAAATATCCTTTTAGATGTAAATATATCCGACATTGAAATTATTCAGCTGTATTTGACACTATCTCCGAATCAGTACTACAATTAGTTTAATATGATGGGCTGAATCATATTTACGCCGATTTTATAACGATTATCATTTGCTATATGTATGTATGTACTTATGTAAATACATTCAAAGGTATTATGTATGCATTTTTGAAATTTAAAACAGTTTTTCCTATCTTACATTTATCTCTGTAGTTCAACCAATTTGTACTAACTATCATATCGTAATGGATTTTATAAGTTCGGAAATTTTAAATCTATTCCGAGTTTCACTAATCTAATTATGTATGTAAATGTTCTTGGCTAAAAAAAAAATAAAAATAAAAAAAAAAAAAAAAAATGTAATTGTTCTTACAGTACGGCAATACAGTATTTCTTTCTTACAATTTCGGCTTATGTATTATATAAACGTTTAAAACCTGATCATTAAAAAAAAATACGTCATATTTTTTTTGTAAAAATCTTTAACCACGATAATGTCTTTACGTAAAAAATATTGTCAAGGTGGAAGTAAAAAATCAAAAATTACTGTTGGAATTTGTATTTTTCCAACTCTTCCACCTGAAATGTTTATAAATATATGTCAATACTTACCACCAAAAGATTTACTTTCTTTAGCTCAAGTTTGTAAGCTATTTAATCGTTATTTATGTTCTGAAAATTCAACTACTACTCAAGAAATTTGGAGAACTTCTAGAATTGAATTTTTACCTTTTTTACAAATGCCTCCACCTGAATGTATGAATGAACGTCAATATGTTAAACTTGTATTAGAAAGAGGTTGTCAATTTTGTAAAAAACCAAAAATTCGCAAAGTTTATTTTGAATTTTTGGTAAGATGTTGTGAAGATTGTTTAAAATCAAGAACTATAAGGTATTTATTTCATATATTATAAGTATTATACTTATTAGTGAATTTAATAATGAACTTTGAAGATACTAAAAAATCATTTTTCACGTACTTGCGTATTTAGGCAAGATCAAATTGAAGATATTATGCCTGAATTTCCTAATCCTGATGAGATAATCTCTGGATTACCTTTCATACCATCATGGTCTAGACGTGATTGGGATAGTGATACCGAAAAAAATCCATCAAGTCTTTATTGGAAAGCCGATATTATTGAAACAATAGCCGAATATAAATCAATTCCTGATGATCCACCAACACTTCGAGAAGATTGGTTAAAACAGAAACAAAAAGATGGTGATGAAAAAATGAAAGATATTATTGAGCGTAAAAAGGAGAGTAACAAAGGATTAAGAGAGAAAAATATGAAAAATTCTCAAAAGAAATTTGAACGATCCAATTTAATTAAAACAAAAATTTTATCAATGAAGGATGAAAAAAATGAAAATAATTGTTTGAAATTTAATAAGGAAATTCTTGAGGATTGTCAAACTTATAAAAATTACATGTTTATGTTTCGGAGATCTGCTCTTCCATTTACTGAACGTGCTTGGTTACTTTTAAAAAATAAATTACTAAAAGAGTACGAGGAATCTTATGAGCGTAAAAGACAATGTCGTAGAGAAAGGGAAAAATTATGGTCAAGGGAAACCGTTTTTCAAATGAGGCAGTACGATATTTATCTCATAGCAAAAACTTGGCTACCTGAATCAGTTAAATCAATTGAATCTTCCGAATTATTTTCGCCATCTGATATCGGAATCTTCGAAACATCTTTAAGTTCTACAAATTCTTTTATTATGGAGGAACCAAATTCGATTTCAAATGTTATTAATGAAAATTCTGGTATTGTTGATACTATTTCTAGTCTGATTACTGAAAATCTTTCAAATATGGA